GGGGGGGGGGGGGGGGGGGGGGGAGGCCGCATGCTGTGCGCGTCTCCGAAAAACTAAAATAATCTCTGAAAGATGCTTCAACCGGTAGTAAACCGAGTCCCGACCACCATGGTAGCCCAAAGCGCCGACGCGCCGCGCCGGTTCGTGAGCTAATTAAGCTTGGAAATATGTCTGATGTTTGTCCAATCAGTTATTACTGGTATGATTGGAACCTCCCCCCTCCCCTCTAGAAATGCCCTACGGAAAAGAGGGAATGCACTTAAAAGCCACAGTCAGGTCTTGGATTTCAAAATTTTCCAAATGACTCCTTCTACGTACATTTTGGTGTTCGTTGCAGTGACATCGTTAGCGTCGAAATTGCTCCGATAGCATCGGTCTATTTTGTTCCCTAAGTTGATGTGCTTTCGTGTTTGAATTATAATGACTCAATTTTAAATTTGCTGAATGATATTTTTGCGGATTTCTGTCATGTTCAAAATTTTATTCTGATATGTTTTTCGAAGAGAGTGGCTCAAATTGTCCTTGAAACGTTCCAATTATTGAGATTTTCCGCGAAATGCACCCCAGATCCACCCTCTCCAGAAGTCTCTTAGATACTTTTTTGTAGTATGACTGAGAAAAATGCCTCGTTCTTCCCCTACGTTTCATTTCCAACTCCGGTTTGTTTTTATGCGGAAATATCTTTTTTGTCTTAACTTCGGAATACAATTCCCGATATTTAAAAAAACAGAGGGGCTACACCCCGTGATCGTTTCGCGGACCAACCCCCTGAAGTGCCTCGCATTTGGTTTATGCGTTACACATTATTCCTATGATTGTATGTAATACAGGATAGAGTAAGATAATATTTTAAGGTCCCACACTGGAAAAAAAACACATTGGATCTAGAGTCCAGATTCTTAAAAACATAGACAAGAAAAAATACTCTTGATTCAATCAGATTTAAGCTTAAATAAAGAGGAAATCCGCTCAAATTAAGAGGTTTGGTTCTTGATTTAAGCTTAAATCTGATTGAATCAAGAGTATTTTTTCTTGTCGATGTTTTTAGGAGTCTGGACTCTGGATCCAATGTGTTTTTTTTCCAGTGTAATATTATAAGGTCCCATTGAAATTTTTGAAATAAGAAAAAATCTGGCACTTTTCAGAACAATTACTTGAGAGACTTGGCGTTCTTCAATCCTTTTATCCATAGAGCACTGTTGAACCTAAGACCTCACTCAGACGTGACGATGCCACCTAACGGGACTCCTGTTTCATTCAGCGTCGAATACGCACAAGTTAGCAGCAATAAACAAATCAACTTTCAAGTCGTAAAGAGTTGATCGTTGAGCTGCTCCACGGATCGCAGAACCGTTGGACTCCGGTCAGATTTGCGATTCAGAATTTGCCCCGTCATTTTCCTTACAGGTATATGTTCGGTTTCTCCACGATAGTGCTGCGTTGAGGAAAAACGCCGCATGGACATTCGAGAGTTACCAAATTTCCTTTGATAAAATTTTAATATTTGAAGAAAGTCTTTAATATTTTCCCTTGAAAGTGCCAGGAAATCTAGGTGCAATTGCGAATAGGATTTACTACAGAATTGGCAGAAAAACATTAATAAATTTACTAAGAAATTCGTATATTATCAAAGGAAATTTGGCAACGCCTGAGGGCATATACGGCGTTTTTTCTAAAAGTGGCAGAATAGGAATCAACAGCGCAATCATTAAGGTGGAACTTCAGTTTTCACGCAATGAATTTTAGGTACGCTCGATATTTTCAAATTTTTACCAGTGAGTGCCAGTGATTTTAGGAAAATCGAAATTTCAGTCTGCTGATAAATTATCGAGAGATATTCGTACCGAAAATCATCTTCCATGAACCACGATCCTCCATTTAAAATGTTCCATTCTCTTTCATTCTATTTAAAAAGAAAGAAAAAAAACCCAACCTTTACCGCTTGTTGCAGATCACTTTTGTATAGATCATAGATTTTCTGCAAGAAGAGGACATTTCACGGAACCTTTTAAAATGCTCAATATTAACACACGCAAACGTCCGCTAATACGTCTACCTTTTGGTGATAAAATTAGAATGAATTGCAATATCCAATAATAAAATTGACAAATTCGGTACAAATCAAAGTGGTGTCGATATCGTTTAATTCGCTTTTACGACCCGACTTTATAGTCCTAAAAAAATTAGACCGGTCTAACATTGCATAGGTATAAATTTGATGGCTGAGGATAGATTAAAGGCATAGGCAATAAAAAAGAAAATCAATGAAGTTATAAATAGACAGCCAAGAGAATGATAATAAAGTCGAACCTAATCCTCTCGATATAAAATTAGGAATTTGACCGCGATATCTTCAGACGATACTAGCCTGTGTCACACTATCAAAGTCAGCCATCAAAATATCAAGGTCAGGTGTTGTGATTGGCTTATTCGATGACTTGGACCAATCACAGCACTTGACCTTGACATTTTGATGGAGTATTTTGATAGTGTGACATAGGCTATTGTAAAAGGAATGCACTCGCTTGGAAAATGGCTTAAAATACGATGGAATCGTCGAATTAGAACCTGATTTTGTTTTTATCGTGATTCCAAGAAGAGTGTTAGTGCTTGGCTGTTATTTATCGTTATTACACAAATGCTCACCGCGGTTTTGCCGCGATATTAGATGACTTTAAGATTAGTGAGAACCGATGTAATCTAAGTTTTTACAACTTGCTTCCTAAGACATCCTATCATGTTGACCAAAATCTGCTTATGTATATAAAGTAAAGGTCAGTTTTGACGGTTTTCACGAAATATAGGTCGTACCGTTTGTCCGATCTTCCCTAAAATTTGTGTACAGGTCCTCTCCAGTTTGGTGGGTGACACTGGCTACTTCAATTTTATCCCGGTAGTGATTTCGGGATTTTATCGTCAAAAAATGGGAAAATTGGGGAGAGGAACGGGCTTGATGTGTTTGTTGTGTTTTTTTGTTTTTTGTGTTTGATGTGTTTTTTAAGTTTGACGTGTTGTTTTTGTTTGATGTGTTGTTTTTGTTTGTTGTGTTAATTTGATGCGTTTTTTGTGTTCGATGTGTTGTTTGTGTTTGATGTGTTGTTTGTGTTTGTGTAATCAATGTTTTTACAACTTGCCTCCTAAGACACCCTATCATGTTAACCAAAATATACTATAGAGTAAACTTACCTAAACATTCCGCAGTAGGTGGTACCGGCATCGAAGGATTGATCGGGCGGTACCACCCTGTCCAGAAGTCGAGGAGTCAGCGAGAGAGTTGATATCGCTGCCAAAAACCACGGATCGCCCAACTCCCCAGGCTCCACGTCAAATTTCCTATCACCTTCCGAGAAGAACCTAGGTCGCTGACACATTTCCTGAAACAGAGAAACATATTGTTAAAATACGACTGAATTTAAAATTGCTCAAAAGGTAGGTTATTTTACTGTTTCAGTTTACAGAAGAGGCAAGTAATAATCTTTTTTACGCTAAAAATAATCGAGAATGAAGAAAAAATTCAATGAAACAGCGCCCCTAGAAGGAAATTTTACAGAAAAACCAACGAAGAACCAGGCCACATCAGCTTTTGCCACATTTAATGGGGCAATTTAATTTTTTACATGAAAACGGTTATGCGAATTATTTCAAGAACTATGCAAAGTGGTCTGTATTTTGCAATTAGCAATTAAAAAATCTAACTTAGTTAAAAAATGACGTGTACCCCATTAGTTTTTCTAGACGTTTGAGTGTTTCTACGTATGGGCTAGAAATTAAAGTTCCTAATTGTCATCCTTGTCCGAAGGACAAGGCGCATAAGTTCAGTGTTTACAAAATAATGAATAGGCACGTAAGCTCAGATGTGGGTTTACATTTCTGTCCTTGCGTTGAAGTCTCCGAGGTATACTGCAGCGCTAAGGAAAAACGCCGTATGAGCCTTCACTAATTTTCAGAAAAAATTGCGAATATTTTTCTTCCAATTTCTCAGATAATTTGTTTGTAATTTGATTCAAGAACTATGCAAAATGGTCTGTATTCTGCAATTTGCAATTAAAACATCTAACTTAGTTAAAAAACGACGTATATTCCATCAGTTTTTCTAGACTTTTGAATGTTTTTACGAATGGGCGAGAGATTAAAGCTCCTAATTGCAAAATGTAGTCTAAATAATGCTCAAATTCAGATCATGTCTGGCGCTGGTGATCCAATCCACATTGGCGAGGACACGATGTCCATTGACGAGCCTCGAGTGAAACGCCCTCGCCGCCTCGCGCAGACGTCTGGGAGACGCCACCGCGCCGACGCGACGCCATTGCCGGATTGTGCGATGAAATCCTATACTTCACAAAAGAAAATAATACGTAAAGTTCTGATACTTAGCGCAATCTGGCAACATAGGCGCGGGATGCTCACGAGGGCACGAGATGAAAGCCCCGAGTATGACTGATACTGATACACGTAACAGCTCAGTCTCGGGGCTTTTAATGTTCCTAATGTTTGAGTTATGCTCAGACAACGCGCGACTAGCTGCTCCACCATAAATCACGACTTTACACATACCCCCCCCCCCCCCCCNGCGTCTCCAGGTGACTACCACGTGATGCTCCTCAAAAATTATACATCTATTACATAACGATCCTAGTTGCCTTGTTTCGAGTATTCGACTGTACCAGGTCTAATTCGCTTTCAGAGAATGATTTATAGCGTTCATAAGAATCATTTGTGATCGGTTTACATCGATCTGCCGTGCGTCGACGATTTCATTTGAGGGGCTCGAAGGACAATGCGCATAAGTGCAGTGTTTACAAAATAATTAATAAGCACGTAAGCGCAGAAGTGGGTTTACATTTCTGTCCTTGCGTTGAAGTCTCCGAGGTATACTGCAGTGCTGAGGAAGCACGCTGTGCGAGCCTTCAGGCGTTTGATTTCAACAATTTGGGCCACAGCCTCCGCTAAACTCTTCCTTTCAATATTCTTAAATATATATCTTCAGAACATGCATTTAAATCATACTGGAAACTTAAAATTTACAAGCATTGAGTTAAATGTTATGAATCTGAAGAGTAAACGTTGCTCTTTTACTACACCGTCAAAAATTAGTAAAATGTTTAACTTCATAGTACTATTTGGCATCAAAGAAGCTAAAGAGTTATTACGAGTAGCGAAAAGTGGCCAAAAATAAGACATCATTCTAAGAAGATAAGATCCGACCAAGTATTCCGAACGCGTCGCGAGATACCCGAGATTTTAAGGCTGATTAATTTTTGGGGCCTTTCGTAAATACTTTCCTCATAATTTGTTGTATCATTTTTTATTCTCGGCCCTTCTTTTTTGGCTCCAAGGACGAGCCGAGGTCTTCAATCACCCGACCGTGTGGATGCCAATTTTAGCGTAATCATCGTACAATTAGAGCAAGTATTAAGACGAATTTCCCCGTAATATCACACATAATTGCAGTATGGCACGGATGCTACGTCTAATTTCACCTGTGGTCACTATGATGGTAGGTCCTGCACGATGAAGATAAAATGGACTGAGTTAAGCAGAAAGGAACCAACCCACATTTTGGAAAAAATTGAGTTATGAGTGGTATTGAACTCAACCACTGCTCTACTATCTATCGCCAAAAATTCACAGTTTTTGTTGGAGCAAATTTTGCAGAAATTGAACTTAAACTTTATCTTTTACATTGAGTCTTATGCAGAAGCCAAACTTTAAACCTCTTTTTCTCAGTTCGATCCCGATGTGGCTTGGTTCCTTTCTGTTTAACTCCGTCCAAATGAACTACGCAACAGACGGTCCTTTAAATCAGAGGTCAGCGGCCCTTCAAATCGAATTTATCTGGTTATTTTTTAGCACTGCACGTGTTGATCAGTGATCGTCTGTCTTGTCACTCCTCCATGGCAGCTTAGTAATAACCAGCAGCTTAGCTTCTTTTTCAGTCATTAATCATTTTTGCCGAGACACCTCTGTAGGATTAATATGCATATCAAAAATCCATCAGAAAAGAAGTCGATTTCATTAGGATTCAATTGCAAAATTCTTTTCCTCAAAAGGCATCAAACACGAGAAAGACATTTAAACCGGAATGAATTTTTAAGGAAAGTATTTTGCGATTTGTTGAATTCTTCTGATTTTTTCGGGGTTTGCGAAGGAGGATTTTGTTACTTATCGCTCGCGGCGTTTCTGATTGAACTTTTGACGTTGCTTAGTTACACAAGTCTTGACAGGCTCCCACTGGAACATTCATGATAACTTTGAGGTAGGCAGTTTAAGCTTTCATTTGTTCTAGTTTTAGACGAAAATTTCACGCATACAGGGGCACAGAAAATTCTTTGCCTTCACGTTTTTTGAGGTAGTCTCCGCATTTTTTTTGAAGTTGCTTTCACATTGCTGTCCACATAATGCGCGCTTCACTCCATCTTCGCAGAAGAGAGTGCGTTACTCAGTTTCCTACCCAATAAACTTTGCGCATAGCTGGTTTATGCATTTTGCATTCACATTTATTCCAGTTTTTCCAGGTACCTTCACATTTTTTACCCCTTTCCAGGTGCCTTCCCAATGCTCCGCGATTGGCTCGCGATCGGAGAATTGGCCGATCGAGCACTTTCTGCATCCCTGCGCCTGCTCGCACACCCAACGTAACGCTCCCTTCATTGAACATTTCAGGTACCTTAAAAATCAGTTTTCGGTATAGTGTAACATTGATGTGTTTGACTCTGTGAAATGTATGTTTGTATAATGTCGCTCCTACAACGCACTCTGGCGTTCTGCGACACCCAAACGCCACATACATAGAGATAGAGAGGTTATCGGGCAATCGGCATCGCAACATCTTTTGATCAACGCCCTGCCGCCACCCCTTTACGACTTTTTTTTAAATACAATTTAGATAAAGCCCTGGATAGACGATCAAATTCCGAACCAATTCCGATCAAAGTAGACATGCTGATGACTGGTGATCACCATCTACCATCAAATTTTGACGGGCCGCACTTTTTTGTTCAAAGTAAGGTCAGAACGGAGTGCCACCATTCAGGAAACATTTCTGCCACAGGAAACATTTCTGCCAAGATTTCATTTTAAAATGAAGCAAATTAATGAGTTTAAGACTGATGACTCCCGACACTTTGATGCTTCTTTGATCGGAATTGGTTCGGGAATTTGATCGTCTATCAGGGCTTACGATCTAGGCTGTTGGTCATGGAGTTAGTTGTAGGTAAAATTCAGTCAACTTACATGTGGTCGCATCCATACGATGGGTTGCAGAGATGGCTTTTTGTTTCGGTAGAGTGCGCGCATGCCAGGCGGAAAGTCGGGGTCCTCAAAAAGGATTCCTTTTTCTCTGCAGGCCCTCCGAACTGCATGGTAATTTACCGCTGCAAGCGCTTTGGCTCTCTCTACCGTCCAGTACCTAAAACACAGAAAAAAATCAAAATAAAGCGAGAATCAAAATGATTAGAAAGCCTCCCGATCGTCAGGAGAAAACAAATCAGGAAATAACATAGTGAGCCACGGTTCAGCATGCTTTTTTACGTCAGTTGCAATGTTTAGAAACCTAACGAAACTTAAGAAGATAGTTATGACTGATATGGTGAGCTCAACCCCCCCTCCCCTTGTCAAGGGGGGNGGGGGGGGGGGGGTTGAGAAATGAGAATCATTATCAGCCGCGGTACGTGACAACCTCGCGGTCTATCACGGACATGAAACGATGGCACGATAAATTCCGGAATTAAAAAGCGTCAAATAAAAGTCACCGGAACGATTTTGCCATCACAATGCCCCCACGCACAGAACTATGCTGCCGTGATCAGGAAGAACGCCGTATGAACATTCGAGAGTTGCCAAATTTCCTTTGTTAAAATGTTTATTTCTGAGAAAAGTTATGAATATTTTGCCTTGAAATCTTTAGGAACTTTAGGCGAAATTGCGAAAAAAATTATCTGAAAAATTGAAAGAGAAATATTCATAAGTTTACCAGGAAATTCGTGTGTTATCAAAGGCAATTTGGCAACGCCTGAAGGTTCATACGGCGTTTTTCCTTAGCACGGGAGTATGGAGCATGGATCAAAAATGTATTTACCGAAGCGGCTTCGGTGAGGGGAGATCGCGCGTGGAAGCTGGCGAGGCGTCGCGCTTCTGAGCTGATCTGATTTACAATACCCTGCAAGAGCAGCCATAAAAGCCTGACGACGGCTTCATCCCGAGGCCTGATATCTCATTTACATACGGGCAACTCACTCAACGTGTGTTACGGCACTATTCAAACATTTTTTCAATATAAATCCTACTCATTACAGATTGTGCGGAATTTTTAGTTTATTTAGGATATTTTTAGAAAATCAGTAGTCAGGAAATTGAAAGTTGTCTCAAGAGTTTATGTGGGTGCTACTGCTACACAGTTAAAAGTTTCGAGGGTCTAACCTAATTCGAGGGTTTGCGTGCAAGCAATAAAGTTCCTTCCAACGTAAAAAACGGCCAATTGAATTTGAATTTTGAATTGATGTTTTCAAGAAATAACATGAATAATCGCTCAATAGCTATATACGTCACGTGTTGCCACCGTTCCTAATAGTTGTAGTCGGAGACTTAAACGCAGAATAGAAAAGTGGTGGGTCTAAAAATTTGGCGTTGATCATCCCAAGGTTTTGATGGCGGTGTTGCATGCCTTCAATGAGTTGCACTTATTTTTCCTGTGTCGTTTAAAGTGAAATTTGGAGAATTCTCGTGATCGCAAAAAGTGGGACAAAATTGTTCCAACTTTTCCTTATTGTGTGGACTGTTGAAGCATAGTTAATTTCACTTTTATCCATACATTTCTCGCATGACCATACGACGAATTCACGAATGGAGACAAATCCGTGTTCACTGCGTGTCTTATTAGTAGGTGCTTCCCGGATCGGCGGCAAGTTTACCAGCGGCGCTACGTAAAAACGCCGTAGGGGCATTCAAACGTTGCCAAAGTTCCTCTCAGGAAATATTTATTTTTGACGAAAGTTATGAATATTTTTCCTTCAAATTTTTAGACTTTAAATATCGAATTATGAGCGAAATCCTCTACAAAATTGGAGGAGCAATATGTGCAAATCTTCCTGGAAACTCGTGATTTGTCGAAGGAAATTTGGCGATGCCTGATGGCTCATACGGCGTGTTTCCCTTTCCTTCGCGCGGCAGTATGAGTCATCTGGAGACGCGACAATTCACGACTCGGGGGAGCACCCGTGCCAAGTGAGAATTGGATCGCTTTTGCGGCACGATTTGAACCGGCTTTAAATCAGGGCACTCACGATGCAAAAGCAATAAATTACCTTTTAGCCGGTGATTAATCCCGTCAATTGTCGCACAGAGGCAACGATTCCAAATCTCAAAGCTGCGACGGCCAATTGAAAATGAAAGTTTATGGGTGGTTAGTTTAGAAGAAGTGAAGTATGATAGATGCTCTGCAGCCCGTGACAAGATATACAATAAAAAAAAAAAAAACAATTTAAAAAACGGGTAACAGGGCTAAAATTTCACATACACAAAGCCAAAACGTTTCGGCTGAAAATTCAGCCATCATTGATAATAAGATATCAAACAAATTCTAATAAATTTGATTTGTACCAAAAACTAGAATTATAGAACGTGAGAAAATAGCCCGTCGGCAGTCCATCTAACGAAAATATGTTTTAAAAACCCTAAAATGAAGTCAAAAGTATCCGAAGCTGTAGTAATCCGTGTAAAGTATCTAAAAAATGGTCCGAGGAAGCTACAGGACGATGACATTTATATTTTTAAGGGTTGATTCCATATCCATTTCCGCTTTTTTTGAAATTCGTTTCAGGGCATAAATGGACCGTGTTAAACAGAAAGGATCCAATCTACATCAGCTATTGCCAAATTGAATTGGGAAATTTAATTCTTTACATGAAAACGGTTTTGCGGATTTTCGTGCAAATTTCAGTGGATTATTTCCATAGTGCGAAGCAAATTCCTTAAAATTTTCAAAGGAATCTACACAAACGTTCTCTCGTAAAAAATTAAATTACGTAGTTAAATTTGTCAATAGCTGATGTAGCTGTGTTCCTTTCTGTTAAACGCGATCCAAATCAGAGACTGATTTGACTCAGACTATAGATCCAATGCGGACATTGGATTATTATCGACAGATTCCAATCCATTTCAGTTAATTAAATCCTCACGCTGCGGAAAGACGATATTATTTTAATCAGTATATTTCTGACCATGTAAAACCCTTGATTTCGTTTCAGGCTTCCGTTTAGCCTAGATACTCTGAATCACACTACATCGCACTATCACAGTGTAATAACAGATGATATTTCAAGAGGGTATACATTTTGATTAACTGCGATTGGATCTCTGTTTGGCTTTTTCTTTCTTTTTGTTCTCTAAAAATTGTGTAACCTTTACGGAAAAAAGTTAGGGGTTATCCCCTAAAATTGTGGTACTACCACAATGTGTTGGATGATACGGACATTTCTAATTAATTGTGGTAGAACCGCAACTCAAGTTAGGGTAGTGCAGCAACATTTGGGTGAGTAACCTAATTTATTGGGGCACGACCACGATTAATTCGTGTATTACCACAATTAATTGGAAATGTCCCTATCGCACAACAACCTCGAGCTTTTTTTTATCCGTGTTGCATTGATTTCGAAGATTTTAACTTTAAAGGACATCAATCAGTGGCAATATGGATGTATTCATACTAAAAGGAACTATGTGCATACGGTTTGCGCGAGACGTAGTTCCTTTTAGCAAAAATACGTTCATAAGTGCGTAACTTTGAGGAAAATCGTCCATGGAGTCGGTTTTTTCGTGGCATGGCCGTGCGAGGGGCCAGCAAAAACCTTATTTTAACCCACGTGCGCTGGTCCCGTGTCCGCGTGTCTTGGGCTCCGTAAAAATGCAAAGGAGTCTTAAGTTGTCACGCGGGTGGAGCTGTTTTTCGGAGCGTGCTGAAACTATCAGCGAAACTGAATTGCGTGCTGATTTCAAATCAATTGCTAAAGGTAGCGTTGGTTTTGGCGCCTCACCGGCGCGCTTACTTAATTGTCACTCAGCTCCCAGCATTTAGTTGAGCCGAACCATATTCTGCCGCGCTAAGTAAGAACGCCGTGTACAAATTCGAATGATGCCGAATTTTTTCTCACAAATCATTTATTTTTGAAGAAAGTTATGAATATTTTTCCTTGAAAGTTTCAGACTTTTTAGATCAAATAACGAACAAAATCCTCTATAAAATCGGAAGAGAAATGATTCAGAAATTTTCATGAAAATTCGAAATTTGTCGAATACAATTTGGCGACGCCTCAAAGCTCATACGGCGTTCTAACTTAGCGCATCAGTATTGATGAGTCCGACACAGTCACATTGATGATGGCATGGGGAGAATTCAAGCTCAAGCCTTTATCCGAAATGCCGTATGAACATTCGAGAGTTGCCAAATTTCCTTCGATAAAATGTTTAATTTAGAGTAAATCTATGAATATTTTTCCTTGAAATTTTCAGAAACTTTATGTGAAATTCCGAACAAAATTAGATGAAAAATTGGAAAAAAAATATTGTCAAATCTTCCCGAGAATTTGTGATTTACCGAAGGAAATTTGGCAACGCCTGAAGGCTCATACGGCGTTTTTCCTTAGCACGGCAGTGTTGGGCTTGCGATGAGCTGCGGAGGATGACAATAATTTCGTATCGTTAGGAAACTAATTCACACGCAGCACCACAGATACGCATCAGGACACATATATTTACCCGGCTCAGGTTTACGCATCGGATCATTTTACTCGGGAAGCTGCGATAAATTCGCCTGCGAAAATTGGCCTCTTCTGATTTCGCTCCACTCACTCCGAGCAAGCGTCCGACTGAACTTCCCTGCTTGTTCTCACGCGCTTCAGTTCTCCATTGCCACTGCATCGTTGTCGGAATGGAAATTCAAACCGCGGCATTTACCTTGGTAAATCCTGTATGCACAGTGAAAAATCACTCCCGGCCGGGGTAATCTAGAATCAAAGCGGGTATTCGCATCGCCAAACTGGACAATCCGCTTGTCCAGCGGGCCGATTACTGAAGAAAAGTAAATAGATAAACATATGGGAATTTGTTGTAGTATATACTGACCCCTCTGAACTTTTAGCTATGCGAATGCGAACTATGCAATGATTCTTTGTGCAAAACTAAGTTGTGAAATGTTCACATCACGACTACGTCCGCACCCCAGCGAAGTGTGCGTCTGTAAGGAGCAAAAAAAGTAAGATTGTGCGGCCGTGCGCCTTGGCAAAAATGTTCGAGGGTACAAATATATCACTCGCTGACACCTGCAGTCGCGCAAATTGAAGTTGACCATCGCTGATAGTTAATTATCAGGGTTCCATACGTCTTCATCAATCATACAGGGAGGCACCTAGGCAC